GTAACGAGCCGGAAAAGGTTGACGTATAGATAAGCATATTCTGACCACCCAGAAGATGAAGAAAGATGCGGTTGATGTTTGAAAAAGGATGATTAAGACAAGATGATTGTGATGCTTAGGTTTAAGCCGATGAATTCTCGAGTCACGAAAACGGCGTCACCCGCGCAAGCCTCGCCCCTCGCCCCCTCGCCCCCTCCAGCGACCCCTCCCACGCGCCCCTCGGCACGCGCCCCTCGGCACGCGCCCTCGGCGCCACCCGCCTCTCGCCACGCGCACCCTCGCCACGCGCCCCTCACCACGCGCCCCTTCGCCACACGCCCCTCGCCCACACGCCCTCGCCCCCGCCCCATCCCGCCCCTTGCCCCTTTGGCCTGCAGTGCATTTCTCCCTTCGAGGCCGTTGTCCTGGGAGCGTCGTGGCCGCCTTGTGTGCGCGGCGGGCGCGTCAGTGGGTTAGTTCGCCGAGAAAGATAAGTGCCCTCGTCCAATAATAGCGCGAGCTTGGCTATTGCTTAGAGCTTCCTTAAATGCCAGCGCAGCGCCCGCGCCCGGGCCGCGTTGGCGCTGCCAGCCGGCTCGGAGTAATTGGCCGAGAGGCGGTCGCTGGGAGGCCCAACATCGCCCAGTGCGAATTACGCGATTGAGCTGCCCGGCGTGACACTGGAGCCGCGAGCGGGGTTGGGGGCGGGGAGGGGCGGGGAGGCGCGGGAGGGCGGGATGGGTGAAGGACCGGAGGCGCGCATCACAGCAAACTGGCGCGTTGTCCAGTAACCGGGGGCATGCACTTAGAATGGCGACGGCAGTATAACACCGGTATAATTTCTGTCTTAGACGGCTTTTTAGAAATATTAGCAATTACATCAAATGAAAACTTATTTATTTTATTATATTCACATGGGTGAATACTCTTCTTAATGGTAATATATTGTTATAAAATCTGCAGGTGATATTTTTTAACACTGGTTGACGCTTGGGGCAGCGGTGCAGAAAAGTATTAATGACGAAACAAAATTTTTGCTTCCAGGAGCTTTTCCAGCTTCAGAGGCTGCCGATGTTCAACTGTCCGCACCGAGAGCCGACTAAGTGCCTGATGGGGACACATATTAACCTCTACACTGGACAATGACATAGTGCTTGCGGGATCCTCGGTCAGCAGATTCACCAGGCCATCGGCGACTACTCACATGCAGAAAGACACGGGACCAACGACCATGCCCTCGGCGGAACCCGAATCCGCGACCATTTCGACCGAGAAGCTGAGTCGCCACATGCTCTAGCCACTGCGACCATCCAGGTAGGCAATAAAGTAACTTTACGTAGCATATTCTTTTTTTTATTTTAATAAAACACACTGTATAAAATAAAATATTACGTATTGTGATAAATGTGCCTTGTCTACTCTGTATTCTCTTCGTCGATCGCGAAGCAGTATGTGTCTCGCAAATACCGTAATATCTCTTTATTGCCTTATAAAATAAATTGTGGTGGACCTGTTACAACATTCCACACTTTGTTAATCATTGTTTTAAAAGTGAAAATCACTTTTCTAACGACCGCTTGCTCTGATAGGTAGTTTTCCGTGATTTCACTCATACCACCAAGCAAATGTAGGAGCAGTACCCCAACAAACGGACCACAAACCGTTCGCAATCTTTCCTTCCTCTTCCCTGTGCTATCCCTACCCGTTACTTACACACACTTACATTTGCATGCACCACACTGCCCCACACGTCGGGTGACCCCACAAGTAGGGAGCTTAAGACCTTGTCCCGGCCTGGCGCGGGCGGTACCCCGCTGGTGAGAGATACCTTGTTGGGGAAAAGCTCATTAGCCGACAGTAGGTCGGGGCCGGATCTCACTATCCAAATGAGGAAGAAACTTTCTCCTTCCTGAAGGAAAACGTGCACAACACGTTCGGGAGTAATGACCTTCTTAGCAGTTGACGCACCCGGAATCACTAATCAACCAATCTCCCAATCGACGACGTCTTCATCAGAAACGACTTTCTGACTTCCACCTTGAACATTTGTGCCGCCGTCCAATACCACTGAATCGATTCTTATTTCGAAGCTCGCCGTCTTGGGCGCCCCATCTGTTGGTCTCTTCTAAACCTCTGCCGAGATCTCTACGAGAAGCATTACACTGGTACAAAACTGAAAAACTATTACGCATGTTTATAAATATATTTCGTACTGTTTTCAGTTTAAGCCATTTAGCTTTACTTAGTAAATCACTTTTATTGGTGTTTGTGATACTTTTATGTGATGGTCAAGTGTGTGATACTTACGTGTCATGATTGTTTTTCTGAAGAATTTGAGGAAACAGGATATGTGTGTCCTGTAAAGAAGACTTTAGGATCTAATGTAGTATTTGCAGATTTTATGTGAGGCTATGAGCGACAGAGTGGAGTAATCCACTTTAGAGGAAATGGAACAAAAATAGAATTGAATATTTTCGGAAATTTTAGTTATATTATGTTATTTTATTTGGAGATTCTGCTATCTCAAGTCACTGTTTAATGTTTGAAGGTGACTGAAGGTACATAAAAAGACTAACACAACATATAACGACAAAAATGTCTTTTTTAAACGAGTCCAGTTTGTTATTTTAGTATTTTGGTTTTGTCCAATACGTAAGAACATTATATATTTATTTCTTTTATTTCCAACAAAAGTTGTAAGCATTTTTATTCTAGCGTACTCTCGCGAGAACTCTTGCATGTCAAAATCCATCCTATTCTCTGTACTTACAATTTCACATTAAAAAGTTGTTAACAAAATGTATTTATTTGTTTACAAAAGTATAAATATTACAGACAATGTACTTATAGAATATCAAATAAAAATTACAAACAATAAAATGGATGTCTAAAAAATATTTTGAATAAAAGATTATTCATGTTAATTGCACATTTTCTTGGTACAATTCACTGCAATTTCTTGAAAACAACAGTACTAATTAGACAACTTCACTTGAAAGTTAACTTATAGCTTTCCTTGATAATGACACAAATATTAAAAAATGTTTTTACTCTTAAGAACCCTACATAAAGCTGTCCATTTGCTACGTAAAGCTGTCCATGAGAAAATTCAGCATTGGGCAAGTACAACACTACTTTTTAAAATATTATTTAACTGCATTACAGAACTGAGAGGTACGCCCGTGCAATGCAATCGTCTCGAATATCAGTAATTAGTTTAATTTCATAGTTGCAGATTCTGCACGTCTCGGAATCGTGGGGTAGTGTCGAGAAGCGCTAGACCAGCAAAATGTAATAGAATGTCGAAGAAGCTCTCGTACTAAAGATTGCGGCGTGAGAAAGGCGTCTTTGAGACCACCCGCCTCAAAATTCCAGACTGTAAGGCCGTAAAACGTAATGTTTAAGAGTTATTTAACTAAATAGATTTTAACAGTGCTGCCTAGTGTTGCGAATTGCATTTCACGTGAATATTTAAATTGGTCGTTTTTAACAAATCCTTCATATTTTTAAGTCAAAGTGCAATTCGTCACATCTCTCTTAAATTCTCTTTAGAGACGTTTATAAAAATTGTGTTGCGTGAGAAACGCTTCTTTACTACTGAAAAAATATAAGAAGAGCATTTATATAATAAAAAGCACAAACCATTTGGTGAAATAGTTTCTAGACTATCGTATATTTGGCAAACTATATTTCCAATTTTTGTTGTCTAAGAAAGATTTGATTAAATTCCATATAACATTAATAAAACAAAGCAATGATTCCTGCAATATTTTGAATTTCTCCTTAGTGCACTTCAAACTATTATCTGCTTGCTCTTACTGTTCGTAGTTGAGGAGAGGCAACATATTCGATTTCCTAAAATATTTGCACGCATGGTGGGTAATAGAAAACAAAATACAGCAGAAAGCAGACAAATTAGCACTGTATCTGTAACACCGTTGTTCAATAACTAATAAATAGATCTGTTTAATAATAAATTGAATTTGCATGCACATATCATCTAGATCTTTCAGAACCCTGCCCAAAAGAACATTTACAGCATTGAATGTACTACGAGAACAGTCCTAGATTTCTTGCAAATGCTTCAACTTGCCCAAGATATAAATTAACTTGTTGAAATTGCTAATCACTCTGGGGAAAGTATTATTTCCCAGTTTTTTCAATGCAATATCATGACGGAGCATACTGACTTGAAAAGTTGGCCGAATCACTCATGACACTGAAAATAGCGGCACAGGTTAAAACACGAAAGAAACCTAACAAGACACAGTTCTCTCTCTTTACTGTACACAACCGACCATTCTTTGCCAATATTGTTTCTTTCTTCTTTTTGACGAAGATCATCAAAAGATCTAAGAGCTCTCTTTCTATCGTAGTTGGAATTAGCTTCTGAGCCTTTTGGTATTGCTGTTCGCAAATTTTCTTGAGCCTTCTGTCTTCTCTTTCGGATTCACACGCAGAATACCCTGGCAATTTCGTGGGGATGACTCCTTCCTTGAGTCTCGATCATCTTGTTGAACCTTGTTGTTCCTTTCGTGACTTCGCTTCATAGCATAAGGAATTGCAGCGAATTTCACTTTGATCAAAATGGTGTGCACCCACTATCAAAGAAATAAAAGCAGTAGGATATATAAGGTATAACAATTATTTCTCTTAAATGTTTCATATCGTAGTTCCTTCTTCAATTGGCTACACAGCTCCTGCAGAAATGGGAAGTATTAGGCAAAACGTGTGGTAATATTAATTAGTAAATAAAAATCACATACAATGAGCTCCACATCAATAGCGTGAGGAATATACTGAGTGGGGTTATAAAATATTACCTATTTCCTCTCAAATTGAGATATTTTATTATTCATCGTATTATTATTTTTCTCTGTTTCATAAAACTACTCAAATGTCGAAAAATTTGCTGTTCGCCCTTCTGTTAATGAGACACTCGACCCACTGCTAGTTCTAAGGAAAACAACGAACAGAGACAATTGTTCAACAAAGTCCCTAGCGCCCACGCACAAAAGCCTTTGAGAGAAGCTGCGGTTGAAGTGAAATAGCCAGCAAAAACTCGGAAGGTATGAATAATAATCTGCAGAACCTCGTCTCAGTCCTTTACTCTTTCTGTTTTTGGTAGCTGAAGGGATGATGTATTATAATTGCTTTAAGTTAACGGTTCGTTGCCTTCCTAATTTTATGGACGCACTCCTCTGTGCCTAACATAAGGCTCTGGGTCAATGGAGAGCTTCAGTTCCCTTTTTGGACTATCCTTTCTCTCAGTAAAGTACAGAGGAAGGAGATTTAAAAGATTAATTACAGTAATAACAGATTCACACCGTTAGCGACCTTCGTGATAAGGTAAGACAAAAGTCGACAAGGTGTTCAGTGTTGTGCTCTTTTAGGCATAATTAATAAAGAATTTTGACAAATATTTTCGTTAGCAGATATGTAACTATAAATTATATTAAATGTCAAAA